CCCGATTTCAGGTGTTTGACCTGACCTTGACCCGACCTGTGACCTCAAAATTCAACTTTAAAATACTCATCTGAAGCGTCTCGTCGCGTTCTTTCGTTTGCCGCCTCGTGTGTTTCGCTGCGCCTATTGGTTCTCGAGTTATCGGCTGGGGGCGTTTAACGCCCCCCCCCCCAGCAAACGGTGGGTGGCGAAATACCCCAGCAACTGCCGGGTTAAGGGGGGGGGGACACTGCCGACTTTTGGTCCCATTCTTTCCATGCAACGCCCATAGGGCTAATGTTAAAATACCAAAATCAAAGGGGGGCACGGTGCCCCGGTGCCCTCCCCGTTCCGCCGCCTATGGCCCCCACCACCCATATTACGCAATGGGGGTCACCCCCCCCCCCCCATTTGCGTATGCACCTGGGGGAGAGTTCAGAAGATAACTGCCTGTCCGATATTACCTAATGGCCGATATTACCCAACTTTCCCCTAGCTCAATATCTTAAAAAACGGCTGAGTTTTACGCATTATACTAGGGTTGACTATTAAGTAATGGAAGTGCCTTTAGCAATTAAAAGTTTTTGCACGTGCACACATTATTTTGGTGCCATCACGTGCGCCGATGTTTTGTCTATCCAATGGTGAGGACCAGGTGTCTTAAGCTACAATTTGCTCTGAGCTATCGACCGTTTTCCCAAGAGACCACCCAAACCTGCGGCGCACGACAAAAAAGGAGCCTGGCAATGGCCAAAATCGCGCGCCAGCGCGAGGTCATTAAATCTCAGTTTGTGGTAGGGTAAATGCCTGCTGAGATCAGGAAATTTCTTTTAAAAGTGTATGGAGCGACGGCATCAGGTGCGCCGGGCAACAGGTGCGACGGGCGGTGTGCCGCGTGCTCGCGCAGATCAGCGAAGATGGCCTCCTGGCGGCGTTCCAGGACTGGGTCAAGAGGCTGGAACGGTGTGTGATGCTAGGAGGCGATTATGTGGAGTAGTGGTGCTGTTATTTATTGTGTTATATGTATTGTTTTTATGAAAATATAGCACCTTACATTATTTTATTCGTGTAGCCATAACACTTGGCCACTGAGACCTGGTGATCTCGCCCTGGCGCACGATTTTGGCCATTGCTAGGCTCCTTTTTTGTCGCGCGCCGCAGGTTTGGGTGGTCTCTTGGAAAAACGTCGATAGCTCAGAGTAAAATGTAGCTAAAGACATCTGGGCTTCACTATTGGATAGAAAAAAGATCAGCGCACGTGATGACACCAGAAAAATGTGTGCACGCGCAAAAACTTTTAATTGCTAGAGGCACTTCCATTACTTAATAGTCAACCCTAGTAGTACTAATTTCATAATTCTAGAATTTTAAAATCCATTTTGCAGTATGTTTTGACATCGTTCAGTAATATTAATACTAGCACCACCGTGTTCCTGAGCTCATACTGCATCTGATTGACACATTTTTTGTTGAGAATTTCATTTTCAAAATTTGACCTTTTTTACCTGAAAGTGACCTGACCTCAGTTAAATTCAGCGCCCAGTTTCACCAAGTGCGGTAAACTCAATTTGGGGTAAAATACCAAACTACCCCACTCTGTAACTACAAAAATACTACCCCGAAATTAAGTTAACCTAACTTGGTGAGGTTGAGCACTTGGCCCAATCTCACCAAGTTATGTAAACCTAATTTCGGGGTAGTATACTTGTAGTTATTTAGTGGGGTAGTTTGGTATTTTACCCCAAATTGAGTTTACCGCACTTGGTGAAACCGGGCCCAGGGCCCGGTAAATGTAAATGTAAATGACCTCAAATGACTCGACCCAGACGGTACTGTTTTCGAAATCTTTGAGTGAAATGGATCATAGGACATGTGTCACGTGACCGATACATGACATAAAATTTCCGTGACCTCGGGAGACCTGGCCTTGACCTGAAAAGAAGAATTCGAAGTACAAGTTTGTTATCCTCAGGATATCTTCGGCACACATCAACGAATGTGCGAACCTAAAAATGAGCCTGATCGGACGTGTTAGCCGGCGGCCAGAGCCTAAATTGTGAACAAGAAAAATGCTGATAATTTTTACTTTGATCTGACCTGTGACGTCATCGGCGACCTCCAGGTCAATGAAAATAGGTTTTGCTCGACAGTTTGTCCAGGACTATCAACTACCGTTTGAATTTTGACAGTCGACTCAGTAGTTTCGGAGATAGGAGAGGGAAGGGCTATGCAAAGCCCCCCCCCCCCTGTCACTCGCTTTATGGAAAACACCCGAGTCATGCGCGGGTTAAGGTCAGGGCGAACCTTTTTGTGTCATTTTCAGCACCTAACTCTACTTACAGGACCATGATATGTTATTCAGATCTGCGCCCAAGAGCTTTGTTAACCCGCGCATGTCTGGGGTATTTTTCATAACGCGAGTGACTGGGGGGGGGGGGGGGGCTCTCCAGAGCCCCCCCCCCCTCCTATCTTCGAAACTACTGGCCCGATCATCAAAATTCAAACGGCGTCTGATAGCCCTGGAAAAACTGTCGAAGGAAACCTATTTTCATTGACCTAAAGGTCACCGATGACGTCACAGGTCAGGTCAAAGTAAAAATTACCGGTATTTTTGCTTGTTCACAATTTATGCTCTGACCGCCGGCTGACAAGTCCGATTAGGCTCATTTTTGGTTTACGGACACCTTGATATATGCCTTAGATATCCTGAGGGCACCGAACTTTTACTTCGAATTTTTTTTTTCGGGTCAAGGCCAGGTCATCCTAGGTCACGAAAATTGTATATCATGTATCGGCCAAGTGACGCATGTTTTATGGTCCATTTTACTCGTAGATTTCGAAAACAATGTCGTCTGTGTCATTTGAGGTCATTTTCAGCAGAATTTACCGGAGGTCAGGTCACTTTCAGGTCAGAAAAGGTCAAATTTTGAAAATGAAATTTTTCAACAAAAAAGGTGCCTAACAGATGCAATTTGAGCTCAGGAACACGATGGTGCCATTTATATTTCTGTGCGATGTCAAAAACGTAGTGAAAAGTGGTTTGAAAAACATATTGTTGTAAAATTTTGACAATAATGCAAATAACTTGGCTATTTTTGAAGATATTGGGCTCAAATTTGCTAGAGTAGTTCATCAGTATGTATTCTGTCATATATATTCCGGTTATTGTGAAAAATCAAAAACTGGATCAGAAAATATATTTTTTTGTAATTGTTAAAACAAATTTTTCAAACTTTTAAAATTTCGAAAATTCGAGATAGCAGTTTGATAGCTAAGTGTATTTATAGTCCACTGATGCAAAGAAATTGGATCTAGCTTTAAAACTAAGCTCTTGAGAGCGTTTGCCGTATTTCAATATTTTGCATCAAAATCGGCCGACATGACGTCACTCTGACGTCATTTCCGGCCAAACTATGGTAGCTAGAAAGTTGAAAGTTTAACACAAGGTGTCAAATTCATGCCGCTGAGAGTACCGCAAGTTTCGTGTTGATCCGTCAAACGGTTTGGGAGATATTGCCGAAAAACTGGAACGGGGCTCTGTAGAGCCCCCCCCCCCCCTCCCCCCCCAGTCATGCGCGGGCTAACCTCTGAATCAAACGGCTAGGAGTGCCACCGAACGGCTTCCGACACGCATTACCTACCCGCAGGGCGATTCGGATGTGACTCCTAAACGACTCCGGTGTAAGTCGGTCTTCTTACTAATGCTGCCGGGAAAATATCACTTGGCTGATATTCGGATACAGGTATATTACGCATACTTCTTAGCTCTTACATGATATATGACGCAGGCAGGCGCGGACCACATAGGGGCCGTTATAACGGCTGTCTCCGGTAGGCGGGGCACCCACCTCTCCCTGCCCAATCTTATAAAATGCCGTACTATTCTATTTACGGCATTTGGTAACATTCACAGTGATACCGGTGCTGACAAAGGTTTATCTGAGTCAACGAAATGATTCTTTAGACCGTCAAATTACGATGGACTGAAATGCGTGGAAACCATTTTGCATTTGATAGTCGTTTTCTGCAGCTGAACTTCAGCCAGTGCTGCCATATCCATTCCACGGCGTTTATAAGATTGAGCCTGGGTCGGTAGGCGGGGCACCCACCGCTCCCTGGGTCGGTAGGCGGGGCTCCCACCGCTCCCTGGGTCGGTAGGCGGGGCTCCCACCGCTCCCTGGGTCGGTAGGCGGGGGCTCCCACCGCTCCCTGGGTCGGTAGGCGGGGGCTCCCACCGCTCCCTGGGTCGGTAGGCGGGGCACCCAGCGCTCCCTGGGTCGGTAGGCGGAGGCACCCACCGCTCCCTGGGTCGGTAGGCGGGGCACCCGCCGCTCCCTGAACATCCGGGCGGGACGCGGCACACCGCCCGCCGCCGGCAGACGCACGACAAAAGCTGAACGGGCGCGTACAGATCCAGCTGGTTCCAGCTACAGCCGCCCACGGTACACATAAACTAAACCAGCGGCTGTTACATAAAATAGCACCATTTTCTTAGCAGTATTTTACGCTATTTGACGTCTGGTTGTCCATCGTCCACTGCCACTTTATCTTTCTAGTTGAGGTTTATTTGCCATTGGGTCTACAGTGCAGGAATATTTCTATCTCGCACTCCTCTGAGATGCAGAGATAAGAATTTGTTATCTCTGCATCCCTCTGAGATGCAAAGATAAGGTCTCGAGGGTCCATAACGAAAAATCAAGAGTTCAAGTGATGATGGGTCAATAACCGAACGACATTTTTAGTGGTTGTTTATGGATGAAACTTATGAAATAAGAACAAACTACTCTGAATCAATTTTTACATGGATGAATGCATTTAAATATATTATTTTCTTAATTAAGAATAAACCTCAACATAGAAAGATATAGGATTCCTCATGGCTCACTCGTGGAAGATCGGATATCTTTTCCTCGCGTGTTACAGAAAAACCTCGCTCCTTCGTCGCTCGGTTTTTCAGTAACCCGCTTGGAAAAGATATCCTTATCTTGCACTCGGAGCCATGAAGAATCCTCTATATCACAAATGAGGGGATGTTTTTGCTAAACATGGTTCAAAGCAAAAATGAGCAGCTTTTCTGAACCAAAATTGCTTGGAATGTGGGTGGAATTGACCGAGCAGCGGGGGTGGACAGGCGGTGTGCCGCTCGTCCCCCGCTAGCCTAGAGCAGGACAGAGCGGGCCAGACGTGGCGCGCCGACGAGTGACGACGCTACAGATCTGACAATTACGGACATCACAGCCACCACTCGCGACCGACTCACGACTCACGATAAGATGACGGTGTCACGACTCACAGTGCACATGGTTCCCGCACCAAGAATACTTCCCGTACGCCCGGAGACAGCTGAAGCTCTTCGTACACCGCAGCTAGCTGAAGCCCACGGCCGTAGGCGGACGCTCTAAACGGCCCAGCTTACCTAGCTCCGCTGGAAAGCCCTCTGTCGGCGATCACTGAGAGCTCAGCGCTCAGCCGAGCCACCTGCAGGCTTCTCACGCCGCGCTGCAGATGGCGGTGGCTATACAGCCCTTATTCTCAGCCAGCGGTCGGTGCTTGGTCCCTGGACCAGCCGACGGAGCCCGGTCGCAGGCACCGTGTCCTCTGCGCTCCCTGTCGGCGGCTGCCGCTGTCACACGGCGGACGACGGAGCACACCGGGACAGCGACAGCCCCGCACGGTCAGCGCTGCACGAGCATGTCCAATGCCCGGTCCCGGTTCATATCGCAGCGGCGCAGCGCGTCAGCGGCCCGCTGCTCAGGGAAGCCCAGACCGGTGAGTTGAGTGAGCGAGCTGAGGAAGTCGGCCGCCCGGCCCAGGTCGCCGTCACACTCGAGCAGGCCGCGCTCGGCCGCCAGCGGCGCGTGGCCCGCCTCCTCCAGACGCTGAGCCGACAGACAGAATTCGATCACCTGCCGGAGATCACACCACGCGGTCAGACACTCGGCCATAGCCCCACATCGTGACGACACCGGCTACCCATGCACGACACTCATAACTGCGCTACTTGGATCCATGTGTTCTGTGCTATACAAATAGCAGCTTGAGCTAAGCTTGACTTAAAAAATATAAGCCGCTCATGGAAATTGGTGACGACTGGTCTCACCTGTTTTTCGTCTCCGTCAAACTGGGTGTGCAGCCTCCGGAGTCGGTCGAGCGGGAATCCCATCTGCGCCAGCTCCTGGAGCCGGGCGCGCACCGCCGGCTCCAGGCCGTGCAGCGGGTCAGGGGCCGTCTCGGCGGGCCGCTCCGGCCGCTGCCAGGGCCACTCCTGCAGTACAGCACATCGATCAGTCAGCAACAGGGACAGGAGCAGACTGCAGGCTGCAGTAGCGACATCTATCCTACAGGAGCTGCCTCGGCACTGCAGCGCAATGCGCATGTGTTCGGAACACGCATTCTCGGGTAAACACCACGGCTCAGTTAACTAATGTATTGATCTATGCACATCGGCTCATTACACGGTCCTACCCAGACTGCCCATCAGGCCGGACCGACTGTCCGCCAGCTCATCCCTGAGCTCCTCTTGGCGACCCAACCGCTCAGCCCCGAGCCCCACCCGCCGAGCAACCCGCTCAGCGACTGCCGCCGCCCAGGGTATATTGAGTGAAGGGTAGGACGAACTTTGGTAGGAATTTCTAGTATAACTACTAGAAAACCTACTATATGTGGTCGGGACTAGCAAAAAGTTAGTTGAAATTAGAATATGGTAGCGCTTATGGTTGGCAGTCATGACGCGCACGTGACATTCATTTCTTAAATTTCTTAAATAACAGGTTTTAGGGGCCGATTAGTGGGCAGATACATTCAATTAGCTATTACACCTTTTTGCATTTGAATTCAACCATTCGCCATAACTGTTTGAGGAGCCATTTCGACAATCGGCATTGAGCACAACTATTCCGGCGTGGTGTGTTTTATTTCAGCCATTCAGCAAAACAGATTGAACACTGAAATGAGCGATCCGCAAAACAGTTTAACACTTCGCCAGAATTCGACATTGAGCGAGCTCGCTCGGCATATGACGAATAGTTTCGACCATTGACGATTTGTTTTGCACAATGTTGAACCATTTGTCCAATGTCGAGTTATACGGGAAGATCGCCGAATAGTTTTGCACAATGGTGATTCTTTGTGACCAACCGACCATTTGTAGCGCCACCTATATGGCGAATGTGTACAAATGTTTTGCCCAATGGTCAAAGGCTAACGCAAAAAGGTGTAATAATTGATAATGCAAACATCCAAGAATCTACATCATTCAATTCTAGGCAAAATCACGCGGCGCTGCCAGGATTCGAACTCACGACCCTCGGATCTGTAGCCCGATACGCTACCGACTGCGCTACCGAGGACCGCGCTCCGTCGATCGGAGAGGCGGATCGCGGGTGCTGGCGTGCAGAGAAATCTTTACCCTGTACGCCGTAGAAGATCGGCTGGGTTTCGTGAAAAATGGTAGAGGAATTGTCGAAAGAAAATTCATCGATCTATCATTTGAGACTAAGAACCATTGATTCCTTTAAAGGTTGACCGAGATATCGCTCGCCGAAAACAGGCCATTTAACATGTAAACCCTATGGGCTGGTAGGAAATGTACGCCGTGGAGCAGCAGTGCTACCAACTAACTTCGGCGGGGGCCGGCCGCCGCCGGCGATGCGCCGCATTATATAGGGGGGCTGGGCGCCCGCCGACCAATCAGCGGCCGCCACGTCACCTACGTCACCAGCCGGCCGGGACTGCAGGTTGCAGCGCCGGCGCATGCTGCCGGCGGCCGATACGAACGGCCGCCGCTCCCCAACCCCCCCCCCCCCCTACACAAGAGAGGTGTACGACCGCTCACATTTTACAAGTATGTACAACACTTCGCAACGACACAGTGCACGATACACTACCGCACCCGCGATTCGCGCAGTTCAGGGACCCCCGCCTGACACTGTACAGGGGCAGCCGCGCCGCATTCGGTACGGCGCGGACGGGCCGAGGGCGGTAGGAGGCGACTCAGGCCTCGCGCCGCGATCTGGGTGATGCCGCGCGCACCACGCGGCGGCCACCTCTCGCGGCAAACCGCACGTCTGTCCATCATACGGCGTCAGGTGGTCGTGGTGCCACATCTTGGTTTTACCGACGCCGTCCCGCACTCGGTAGGTGGCTCCTCTTCCTTCTCTTCTTCCGTGGCCCCACGGGCCCTTGTGCCGCAGGCCGAACTTTGGCTGCCCTCCAGCTGCCGCTCGGAAGTCGCGCTCGTTACCGGCTACGCGCTCGAAGGGGTGTGTGGCCGGCTTGTTCTGCACCGGGGCCCTTGGAGGTGGATTGGGCCTTTTCCACCTCACCACTCGATCATTCTGACCTCCAGAGTCCAAGGCCCTGCCCCACTTTCCCAGCACCGAGGTGTTGCAAGGCGTCTGATAGCTGAGGCGCTGTCGGGCGTGATTGTGCGGTGGGCTCTCTTCTTGCGCCTTCTGCTTGCCGCTCCGCTCCACCGGACTAGCGTCCCTTGCGTCGCCGTCGACACCTGGACGGCTGATGGCGCGTGCTTCCCCGGGCGACCCGCCCTCGCGGCGGCTCGCGCTCTCCGCCTCCAACCCGTTTGAGGTCACCGTGTCCTCGACGCAGCCGCTGCTGGGCTGCCCGCCCCCGCATTGGCTCGTCCCGGACCCGTCGCGCTCGACCGGGTCCCCGCATGGGGCCACTGGGGCTGGCCAGTGTCGCCATCGGTCCAGTCCTGCTGACTTGAAGACGGCCCGAGCGGTGCAAGTCACCAGGGCCACTGCCCGCGCGCAAACCTGTGCGCACTGCCTTGCCACGCCAGTGTTCGAGGCCCCCGATCGCTCGCGATGCCCGAGCTTGTCGAGCTGAGGTCGGGATGCGGGCGGAGCCCCGCTGCCCGCCGGCTCTGATCGTATCGTGCACACGAACGACGGTGTAGGAGGGCACCCTTGCCCCTGTCCTGTCGCACTACAGTCCCTCGATTGTGTGGGCTGCCCTGCCGTAGGGGTCCCGTTGACGGCACGTGGGTCAGCCACCCTCCGCTGCCACTCACGGCTGCACCCCGCTGCCGGTGTGTCCCCCCGCTGCCAGTGGTTCGCGTGCGCTGTGAGGCCCTCCATCACCGGGCGGGCAGGCATGCCCACAGCCGCAGTCGCCGGGGCAGGCGGGCGTCCCGTCCCTCGCTGACCCCCACGGCGGCACCCGGGGCAGAAAGGCGTCCATCCGCTGGCCTCCTCAGACGGACCACGGGGGCGCTCCGCCCACTCCAGGCCCGCCTGCTGATAACCGGGTGTGACAAACCGCCCCACCTGCTCGTTTGCGTGTGTGTGCCGCGCCGGACAGTCGCGGACCAAGTGGTCGGGGCTGTTGCAAAAGAAACAGCGGCGCCTGCTACCCCGCCTGTTTGGGTTCGGTGGCCCTCGTTGGGAGTCACTCGCCCTTGTCCCGTGCCCCGTGCGGTAGGCGTTCCGCCTTCCCGCCATCTCAAGAGCCTGCAGGGCGCGCTGCAGCTCTCCCATTACCCTTTCCAGGGCGTCTAGCCGCGCGGTGACAGGCGCGTCTCGGTCTTGCACCGCCAACGCCTCGCCCTCGCTGGGCGGGCGCATTGCTCGGAGTGCGTCCTGCTGCCTTTCGAATTTATCGGCGACCTTCACGGCTTCGATGAGGCTGGCCGGGTCCTTCGTCAGCACCCGCACCCGCAGCTGCTCCTCACGGAGGCCGCATACGAAGCGGCTGACGACGGTCGCTTCCACGGACGGGTCGCCGGCTCTCGCCCCTGGGTAGGCCTCCCGGCCTGCCTGGCGTACCCTGTCGGCGAAATCGCGTGTCGCCTCACCGGGCTGCTGTCGGATGCTCGCTAGTTCAGCGTGCACCTGCATCGCGTTCTTTGCTGTGCCGAAACGGGCTTCCAATGCGGCCACAGTTTGCTGGAGGTTGCGCTGGACCTCCTCCGACAGCGAGGCGAAATAGTCCAGGGCGCCATCTTGCAGCAGGCTGACCAGGCCCTGCAGCCGATTCTCTTCAGAGAACGCGATCGTCTTCGCCCGAAACCGTCGGTACCACTGACCCCATGATTGTCCATCTTTCCCCGTGAAATTTTCAAAGTTAGCTAAAAATAAAAATTCTCTCTCCATGTTACGTTACTCTACTGAGCCGATTCAAAATAAAATAAAAAAAAAATTACTTTAAATGGTGCAACCCAACGAATGCGTGTCCGCTAGTGTCCGAACCGTCCTACCGACCGCGCCAGTTGTTCGGAACACGCATTCTCGGGTAAACACCACGGCTCAGTTAACTAATGTATTGATCTATGCACATCGGCTCATTACACGGTCCTACCCAGACTGCCCATCAGGCCGGACCGACTGTCCGCCAGCTCATCCCTGAGCTCCTCTTGGCAAGCCAACCGCTCAGCCCCGAGCCCCACCCGCCGAGCAACCCGCTCAGCGACTGCCGCCGCCGGCGATGCGCCGCATTATATAGGGGGGCTGGGCGCCCGCCGACCAATCAGCGGCCGCCACGTCACCTACGTCACCAGCCGGCCGGGACTGCAGGTTGCAGCGCCGGCGCATGCTGCCGGCGGCCGATACGAACGGCCGCCGCTCCCCAACACATGCGACGCAAATATGGCAAAACGCAAGCAGTTACCATCCATTCGCCACGCATAAACACCAGCCGACTTTGTCATTATCGGACATAATGCTAGGCTACGAATCAGACCAGCCGGGCTTCTGCTGATCAAAATTCGGTGAGCGAGATTTGGGCTAAGCTCAGCAAAGCATGGCCAAAGTCAAAATCTTCCAAGCATCTTTGCCATCTTTTTTTAATCGTTAAAAAGTAAAATGCATTAGAAGTCACAGTAGTCCGATAAAATCCCATCCTCTCACCTGCGTCGGTGGCGCGCCGCCGGAGCTCGGGGCCGGCGGCGGTGTGTGCGACTTGGTGCGCCGCGCCGCTCCGCCGTCCGAGTCCGGACCGGCGTCGGCCGCCGCTGCCGTCGGTTCGCTCAGGTCCGGTTCGCTCCTACTGCTGCGGAGTCGAGCTCCGGCGCCGGCCGGCGGCCCGTAGTAGCGCGCGTAAAACTCCTGCAGCTGGCGCGCATCGGGCTGTGGCGGCGCGGGCACCGGCGCCTCGGCCGCCAGTGAGTTGGGCCGCGCCGCCGGGGGTACGTACCCGCCGCCCGGGTACCGGTACGGGGGCGACTCGACCACCGCCGGCTTGGCCGGAGCGCCGCTGTACGCCGGTCGACTGTAGGCCGCGCTCGGGTACGGCGAGTAGGCGCCGGAGAAGCTGTAACCGCCGGCGCTGGCGGCTGCCGCGGCCGGCGCGTGGTACTGATGGCTGTGGGTGCCGGCCGCCGGCCGCGTCTGCTGCGACTGCTGGCCCGGGTACTCAAGCCGGGGCTGGGAGGTCGCCGCGGCTGCCGGCGGCCGGAACACGCTGGCTAGCTCCTCCATATCGTTGATGGTCTTCAGCTCGGCACTGTCGAACGGGTCGCTCGCCTGGCTCTCGAAGTCTCGGTAGTTGAAGGAGGCCGGACGCTGGGCTGACGCGCCGGCGGCCTGCTGGTGTCGCCAGGTCTGCGGCTGCAACATGGCCGCCGCCGCGCCCGCGAACGGGTTGAAAGGGTTGGAGGAGACAACGGTGGGCGAGGGACGTGCGTCTGTCGCGGGCGCCGCAGCGGCCGGACGGCCGACGGCAGCGGCGGCCGAGCTACTCGCGTCCAGGCCTGGCGCTCGGCTGTGGTGGGAGTGGCTCGGATCGACGGCGGCGTTCGCAAGAGCTGGAGCGGGATCGGCGGCGTTCTCGGGGTCCGTCGAAGTTACGTGGTTTGTGGCAGTGGCGGGAGCATCCGCCGCGACTGGGGGTGGCGAGGGGGCCGCCGCAGGTGCGGTGGCGGTGGCGTTGGCATTGGTGGTGGTGGTGGCATTGGCAGTGGAGTTGGCTGTTATAGCATTGACAGGCGCGGTAGCAGGGACGGCCGGAGATGTGTCGCTCCCGGACGCTGTCGCCTCCGTGGACTCGGCTGTGTTGGCCTGCTGCTTTTTGCGGCGAAACTCCTCCAGCCGCTCCTGCTCCTCGCGGCGCAGCTGCTCCTCCTCCTGGCGCCGCCGCTGCTCCTGCTCCTCGGCCAGTCGCCGGGCCTGCTCCTCCCGCCGACGCTTCTGGGCCTGCTCCTTCAGGTGCAGCCGCTCCGTCCGACCCGTACGCTCCGACAACAGGTTGCGCCTGCGCTCCTGCACCCAATGCAGAGCCTTGGTCTCCAGCTCGAATGTTATCTGGAACAAAATAAATGGAGAAACCAAGGGTATGGCTGAGTACTACAAAATAATCTAAGGATTTGGAAATCATGATGAAAGTTACTACAATCCATACAGATGTGAAGGAATCGCATGAGAGCTCGATATTCGCTGTAAAACGCTATGCAAATAGCAAGGTGCAATATAAAGCCAATATGTGGATTTATTTGAAACAAAAAGAGCACTAGTAATGTTATATGGCTGCAACTACCTGTCAATATCTCAACAACTGACATTTGTATTTTTTAACTCTCGCAAGACCGTGGCCTTTTCATAACGCAAGCTACCAATGGAGGAGGGTGGTCCGATTTTAATTACAATACGTCGTTTGTAATAAAATTCGCACTCGTGCTGGACGCTGTCAGGACTGAGCAACGAATCGAAGTCACTGAATCCGTCAGTGTTTGTGACCCGCAGTCTACGATCAGTTTGAACGTCATGAGAAAATCGTTCCCAAGGATCAGATCAGAATTTTCTCGGGGTGTTGGCTTTTCAACACCACTCCATTATTTTGGGTCGTCTTCTGTTTCATCGGTCCTTTTTGTTTGGATTAGCGCTCATTGTTCATTTCTACACTTCAATATTGCAATAAGCATTCTTCTTCTCCTCCATTGTCTGGAGATTGTCAATATCGAATAGGAAATTGTCAACGACTTTATTTATTTTCTCGCGACATTCACACTGATCGTAGGCTGTGGGTCACAAACATTAACAGATTCAGTAGGTAACTTCGGTCTTCGATTCGTTGCTCAGTCCTGACAGCGCCAGCACGAGCGCGAATTTTATTACAAACGACCTATCACATTTAGTCATAGCTGCGCCGTCCCAGGCACTCATCAACGAAAGCCCCCTGCATCAGAACTGTCACACCAGTAACAAGGTACGCAACCCAATGCGAGTTAAAATGAAGACTTACTGGTTGGGCAGGCAGCTCTGATGGTGGCAGAGCGCGGAGAGGAGCTGGTAGATGAACCTTTGTCGGAGGACGACACAGTTCACTTATTTTCACTGGTACACCATCCATTATGAGTCTGCAACAAGAGAAGCAGCAATAAGTTTGTAGCTTTGTCTTCATGAGTAAATATGCACATATAAGTCAAAAAATCTCGCCGGAACGTGCCGCCGCCGGCCGGTTCTCGGCTCTCGCTGACAGCGCCGGATGGTTCCGTCCTAGCATTACGCTACTTATGTACCACTGCTAACGATCGATCCAAGTCAGGATCCCTGTGAATACTTAGAAATGTACATACAGGTAACACAAAAAATGTAAATACATACAGGTAATTTTATTATGAAAGAAGTATGAAAATTAGCTGGTATCATTTTGAGTTACGACTTACGAGTGTGTTTATACAAAATTGACTGAAATGCTTCCCGCGTCGGCTGCCCCCCGCCTCAACCTGTCTGAAGACAATCTTACTCTAATCAGAGCTTTAATTGCCATTATTATGGCTTGCGCATGTTAAGTTAGGATGCGGGATCTTGTAAGGTATTGGCACGGAATATATAGTCTGTCGTAGACTATATATTCCGTGGTATTGGTTAGGAAGATGCTGGATCTATGAATTAATGGAATTCCTTTCACAGAACAGGGCATAATCAAAAAGGTTGAAATGGAGAAATAAAAAGATAAACCAAACCATGTTACTGCTTTTTCAAAAGTAGGTACCAATGCTTAATATGAAGTCTGGCCAAATGCAGACTGCAGGGTGGAGGAAGTGAAGTTAGCTTTTGTTAGGTTTGGGTCTTATCATCTTGTGCCAGAATTTCTTAAATCATCAGTTTACCCCAAAATTCCTGCATCTATCAGTACACCCGAATTTCCGTGCACAGAATTGTGCTAGATGCTGCACCAAAATTTTGGGGCTGCTTCAAGCACACAATTTTGGTGCAGCGTCAAAATTATGGCACAGTTTTCCCATTATGCCAGACATGCTTTTGGTAACATTGATTTTTTCCACTCTGGTACAGAAACAAATATTGTAGCCAAAGCTTTATTGGAATTTCTATTTCAGCATAAATATTCCAAGGTAAATGGCAGCCGGTCCCGTAGCTCAGTTGGTAGAGCGTTGGGCTCCGCGTGGTGAGAGCACGCGCCACGCGTTCCCGGTTAAAACAATCCGGGTTCGAGGCGCGATGGGCGCTTGACATTTATGGGCCTCCTGACAGGTATGGTTGCGGTTGGTGGCAGGCCCTGGCCAGGCGAAGTCAGTGGGGGGACCGGCCGTGCGCGGCTCTGTGCGCACGTTAAACTTTGGACTCTAAATTCTGCCATAGAACTGGAATTGCGCGATCGGAGGGTAGACGGCAGCCTCACTGCAACAAGCTTCGCTTAGCGGTGGTTCTGTCCTTGTGAATCCTTCCTATCAAAAAGGTTCGGACTAAATTTAAAAAAAGATGTGCATATCCAGGGGTATTCTCTTAGCAGACGTCACCCGAGCTGCCATATCCAGTTAGGTAGGTTGTAGGTTGTAGGTTGGTAGGTTAGGTTGTAGGTTGTAGGTAAGGTTAGGTCAGGTTAGATTATGTTTTGTTATATATTTAACTGTGAAAAGACAATTGTTGCGCATGTGAGACGTAGATATGGCAGCTCGGGTGACATCTGCTAAGAGAGTACCCATGGGTGGAGAATTGCTTCCAAAGTTGGTATGGCGTCCGTCGCTTAAAACAATGCTTTTTAGCAGAAACGTTAACACAGGAAAATCTGAGCTTTACATTTAAAGACATGATGTGGAGATGAATTGTGAATTAAAATGAAAACGGACTTAATCCACAAGAGTTCGTTGGGTCGGAGCTTTCGAATTGTATTACAATTCTTCGTCAGCGAGAGTCGTATCGGATGTTAAGATAGAATCGAAGGTACAGTGCGGATCGAACAAAATATATTTTCGAACAAAATCGAACAAAATATATTTTGTTCGATCCGCACTGTACCTTCGATTCGATCTTAACATCCGATACGACTCTCGCTGACGAAGAATTGTAATACAATTCAAAAGCTCCGACCCAACAAACTCTTGTGGAGTAAGTCTGTTTTCATTTTAATTCATCTGAGCTTTAGGTATCTTAATCAAACCAAGTATGCTGTGGATTAGGTACTTGTCTTCTTCCCTGAAACTCATTGTTCATGAATTAAAACATATTTTACTAATATTTTATATTCTTATCAAACTGAAATCCTTAAGTTTCATAGCTTTTACCCTAAAAAGTTGGTATGGCATTGCCATACCATCTTTTATGTTGGTGTGGCGCGTGCCATACCTGCCATACCATATTCTCCACCCATGAGAGTACCTATCCAGGATTTCTCTTGGTTGGGGGGGGGGGTCCACAGTCAAAAGGGCCAAGCCTTTCCTTCAAGAATACTTGACGCATGGCGAAATAACCAGTTTAGCAGTGACACTTTTTGGGGGCGTTTTGGACGGTTCTCCCTATCTATTAGCAGTTAGCACCTACTTTGATTAATTCTCTACTAAACAGATACCTAATGGCGAGAGTGATAACTGACAACCTGAACCCATCAATCATAATGATAAGTTACTTGCCTTGAGTCCAAGGCTATATATATATATACGGTCTTTGGCTGTATAAACCCCCTTGATCACACCACACAATTTCAATTAGGAAATAATAAAGTTATTTTTCTCTCTCCCAATCTTGGAACCTAAAACAGACAGTTATGGCGCATCAACGACAATTCCTGTACGAAACAACCGAACAGCAAGCAGCATCAGCAAAAAATAAGAATCGGCCAATCAGAGATGCAGGGGAAGAAGCCCACCAAGGCCCTCAAAAGGGAGTGTCTAAAAAGCAGACGAGATTGGCAGACGAGCCCATGCTCAGTAACTACTGGACTGATTTGGATAATTCTTTAACCATTCATTAGCAAGGAACCTATATAGGTGCCGTTTTTCGTTTTTTGGCGATTCGTTCACTCTGACTGGACCAATCGGACCAGAATGGTCCAAAACCATAGGCCCCCTTAAAAGCAGAAGAGCCCATGCTCCGAAACTACAGGGGCCGATTTCAATGAAACCTTCACCATTAGACGCGCCGTGGTCTGAAACGGTGCCATTTCTGATAATTTTTTTGATTGGTCCACCCCAAGTGGTCCAAATCGGTCCAAAACCCCTAAAATCTGTTGCAGACGAGCCCATGCTCCTGGACCGATTTCGATGAAGCCTTCACCATTAGACGCGCAGTGGTCTGAAACGGTGCCGTTTTTGATGATTTTTTGATTGGTTCACCCTAAGTGGTCCAAATCGGTCCAAAACGCCTAAAATATGTTGCAGACGAGCCCATGCTCCGAAACTACTGGACCGATTTCGATAAAACCTTGACCATTAGTCGCGCCATTAGTCGGAGCATGGGCTCGTCTGCAACAGATTTTAGCGGTTTTGGACCGATTCGGACCAGTTAGAGTGGACCAATAAAAAATTATCATACACGGCACCGTTTCAGACCACGGCGCGTCTAATGGTGAAGGTCTCATCGAAATCGGTCCAGTAGTTTCGGAGCATGGGCTCGTCTGCTTTTAAGGGGGTGTATGGTTCTGGACCATTTTGGTCCGATTGGTCTAGTCAGAGTGAACCAATCGCCAAAAAACGAAAAACGGCACCTACATAAGTTCCCTGCTATTGAATGGTGAAAGAATTATGGCAGCCATTCTATAATTTAGGAACTACTTGACCGATCGAGATGAAAACAACACCAGTCGATTCAGCATATGCGATTTCATCAGCCGTTTCGAATATGGTGACCTCAGATGACCTCGGTGACCTCGAGTAATAGGCGAAAACGTAAAGCTGACCTTTCAAGGTCACCGAGGTCACCTAAGGTCGTCATATATGACGATTTCATCAGTCGTTTAGAATATATTGAAACGACTGATGAAATCGCATACGTTGAATCGACGTTGTGTTATCATCTCCGATCGGCCAAGTAGCTCCTGAGCCAAGTAGGCTGCCATGGGCAACAACGGTCATATGACCTCCCAAGGTCACCGAGGTCATCTGAGATCACCATATTTAACGGCTGATGAAATCGCATACGCCGAATTGACTGCCGGTGTTTTATCTCGTTCGGCCCATTAGTTCCTGAATTATAGGATGGGTGCCTTAGGCCACAACGGTCATGTGACCTCCCAAGGTCACCGAGGTCACCTGAGGTCACCACATTCGAAACGGCTTATGAAATCTCATACACTTAATCGACTGGTGGTGTTTCTATCTTGATCGGCCCAGTAGTCGTTCGGCCCATCGGCCCAGTAGTAGTAGTAGCAGATTGGCCCACCAAACTTTACCATAAATGGAGCATTTATGGTAAAGTTTGGTAGAAAAAAAAACTCAAAATTGATGACGTAAATTTTCAAACTCAAATTTTGGCCGTTATAGACCAAGTAGAGTAAGACGAAGACCACTGTTGGATTCTCCGTGATGAGCTTCATTGAATAGACGACACATACTGTTTTATGCAAAAATATCAACTCTGAAATTTGACTTTTTTGAACGGACCTTGACCTGACCTCATCGACAGACGAGAACGCGAGCTAACCTAACCGGCCCCAATGGTTAAGTCTAGCCCACACCATTGAAGTTGAAATGTAATATTGGCCATAAAACATGCATCACACGACCCTAATATTGTTCATATTGTGACCCTTAGTGACCTGACCACCGTGACCTGACCTGGTATCCTTGACCTGACCTCCAGCATATGCATTAGGCAACGAACGCTCTATCGATGATTTTCGATAACACTACTCGATACTCGATGTTATAACGCATTCCTTAACACGAGCACCGACGGGGGGGGCGGATATCCGCCCCCCCCCCCCTGAGGTTTTTCGCGAATAGCGGGAAAACCGCGGCGCGTAGCGCCGCGAAATTTCGTACAACTATTCTCTCATCAATTGTACACATGGTGTGCAAGTTTGAACCTCTTAACTTTTAAGGTCAGGTCACCAGGTCACTTTGAATGACCCAACCTCAAGTCACTTTTTTGCAACTTTGTCACCGTGCCAGAGCTA